GTCTCATCTTCCTCCCCCTCCTCCTTTCTTTCTCTCGTCTGCGGCTCGTGTCCCGGTTTGGTTTTCTCCTCTCTCTCTCCCCTACTCTCATCCTTCTGTCTCTCTCCTCTCGTCTCTTACCGCATCGTAACTCTCTTTCTCTTCTCCATCCGTCCGCCGGTGCTTTGTCTTTCACTCTTTCCTCATCTGCTCTCTCTCGGTTCTGCTCTCCTCGTCGTCTCCGTTTCCCTCTCGCGTTCTCTCTCTCTGCCTCTCTTTACCTTTCTCGTGTTCTCGTCCTCGCCTCTCGCCCTCCGTGTGTCCTCGCAACTTGTCTTTGGGGCCTCGTGGCCCGGGCCCGGCGGGTAAACGCGTCTCTGTTCTGGTTCTTATCTCCCAGCTTCGAAAAAGTCTCTCCTCCCCCCCCCCCATAGATATACCTATAGCCTCATATATATGTAGTCGCAGGTAATATATATATATTATACGATATGAGAAACTCAGACTGTGATTGAGATTTACTTACTGAGATCTTCTGGGCCTAACTCTATTAACAAGCCAGAATGGGATACACCAAACAGCAGTCTGTGACACGTGGGATGTCGCAGATCGAGTGCACTGCTCAGTCTCCACTATCAATGATATATGTCAAGGTCGAACAGCGTTTTTCTCGGCATGCCGGTGCATTCTCGCTGCTTCGCGGCACTGTGTACGGGTGGCACACTAATGCGACAACTTTCGAGCGGAACTGATGTGCAGGCGCCTGCGCGCCCCTTCCAGTCGCAACAGCGCAAACCCGCACAGCAGATGCGATAAAATGCAGTAATTTTACGAAGAGATGCAACTGGGAACAATGTTATGTTATTTTTTGTTTCAGTTAAGGAATAAAGGAGCAAAAAGCAGTTGACAAAGAATTATTACCTTCACTGGCAACACACACAGACGCGATTAAATCATAATTTTACACGACAATGTTTTTTTGTTTCATTAAATAATGACAAAACTAATTTACAAAAATCATTGAAAAAAATGACCTTCACTGCAACACACACAGACGCGATGAAATCATAATTTTACACAACGGAAGACGTTTTTTTCGCATGCACGCACGCACAGTACATTAGATTTCCATAAATATCCTTCCGTTCTGCTCTCGGGTAAGGGAGATTCGCACACACCGGACATGATTCTGATGGTTTCGGCATAGGCTTGCTCGAAGTGAATCATATCGCTGTTCTTGAACCACGTGATGACCGGCGTCGGCGATCCTCTAGCCGGACACTCGATGGTCACTGGGTGGTCCTCTATCGCCACCAAGTCATCCTTAGTGTCGCCGATCGTCGGAGGAACTGAAACAGAACGTCGATCTAATATATTACTTGCATCATAGAATAAAGTGATAGTACTGCAGCGATGGCTCAACGGGTAGAGTGCTCGCCTCGCATGTGGAAGGTCGGGGGTTCAACTCCAGGCCGGGTCATACCAAAGACTTGAAAAATGGTACACATGGCTTCTCTGCTTAGCACGGAAACGGAGATAGGCACCGCCCTATGTGTCACATAGCCACGGGAAGGATTTAACTAACTATAACTTTAGGAAATCTCCAGCATATTTTTGCCAAGGGTATAATACATATACACCTACAGTAGAATACAGTAGTAGTACAAAGATAGATATACACTTATATGTCTACTTAAGGCTGTCTACCTAACTGTATACCTATGGTACCTACGGTATCGATATTATATAATACCTAGAACTTGTACGTAGAAGTCCTTCTGAATGTCGCCGGATATGCTGCTGGCGACGCATGTGTAATGTCCGGAGTCATCCTCCGTCGCCGTGACGACGTTCAGTCGGTCGTCCCTGAAACAAGTGAACAGGTAAGCGAATTACCCCCTCTGACGTCATCCGGTTCGATTGGGCCGAATTGAGTTCTCAGGTGGTTGCTGCTGCAAGGTGAGTCATGGTTCGCACTTTGGAATCTTAGCGTACTGTCACGTATAATAGTATTAAGAGTTTGAATTTACAAGCATACCAAGCATTCCGGCAATATTCAAGGGCAAAGAAGACGATATCTTCGCAAACGATTTATCATTCAAATAAGTTATATCAAAGGAAAGATCTGCTAAACAAACAGATAGAGGTTTCAGACTCGCTTAAATAACCGCATAAGATCAGAAAAAAGGCGTTCGATTGAAAATCAAGGTCAACGTCGCTGTCAATGTCAAGGTCAACGTCGCCGTCAACGTCAAGGTCACCTTGCGACGACGTCGGCACCTAGCGGCGTCGGCCGCGTCGGCAGCGGCAGCGTTCCGATGGTCGCGTAGCTCACGGACTCCTCGTCCTCATACTCCTCGTCCGCTCGCACGGGAATGTCGCTCCTCTCGCGAGATCCCGTGCGTCGCAGCAGCCGCGAGTCGTCGGCGGCGTAGCGGTAGAAGTCGGACGAGGCTTCGTGTCGGCTGAAGCTGTCTGCGGTTATGTATATGCCGCCGGCAAGAAACGGTTCGCTGATGAGGGCCGCTGTGTCGTCACCGTGACCCCCGCTCATCATCATCTCATCGTTCTGCAATGAGACATGGAACAGTTGTGCATCATGCGGTAACATGGAACAGTTGTGCATCATGCGGTAATGAAACATGGAACAGTTGTGTATCGTTTTACAATGAAACATGGAACAGTTGTGTATCGTTCTACAATGAAACATGGAACAGTTGTGTATCGTTCTACAATGAAACATGGAACAGTTGTGTATCATGTGGTAACAAAACATGGAACAGTTGTGTATCGTTCTACGATGAATGGTAACGAAACATGGAACAGTTGTGTATCGATTTACAATGAAACATGGAACAGTTGTGTATCGTTCTACAATGAAACATGGAACAGTTGTGCATCATGCGGTAACATGGAACAGTTGTGCATCATGTGGTAACGAAACATGGAACAGTTGTGTATCGTTTTACAATGAAACATGGAACAGTTGTGTATCGTTCTACAATGAAACATGGAACAGTTACGTACGATGCCGTAACGAGACACGGAACAGTTGTGTATCATGTGGTAACGAAACATGGAACATTCCTACATCTATCTATGATAAAACACGAAACAGTCGTGCATCGTTCTACAATGAAACGGGTCTCTGCAGATAGTGTCGGGTACGTGTACTCCTACAAGAAAAAGCAAGAGTAACAACGGAAGAAGACAAAGAGAAAGGTCATGATGAAAAAAATGAAAAAGAAGAAGAAAAAGAAGAGAAGGAGGAAGGCAATAAGAAAGAGAAAAATAAAAAAAGGAAGAACAAAAGTAATTTCTTTTTTAAAGCAGACAATTTTGTGTTGTATAAAAATAGTGCACGAGAACAGCTGACGTCACTCACATCTGTGTCATAGATAATGGCGTCCAGTATTCTGGTGTCTTCATTGGTCACCACGTGGTTGTTCTTGTACCAGGAGATAGTGGGAGGCGGCCTGCCGGACGCTGGACACTCGATGGTCAAATTCTTACCAAGCATCACCTTGTAGTTCTCAGTGATGTGCCAGTTGGTAATAGATGGCGGCACTAGGAATCGTTAACCAGAATAAAATAATTATATTTGTAATTGAATATAATGTACGCAACGGAGACAAGCACTCTCCCGCACGCACTGTTAATATAAAATAGGCTAGTATATACTGGCGTTCTAGGATTGAATAATATTAAAGAAAATCCTCTTCCATCCAAGAAAGATCCATCTATTACGAACTTATCCATCTAACATCCACCCACCTATATGCACATGATGCATGCATGCTACAGTTACAAAAGCTAACACCCACCCACCCATATAGCTATACTTACTATAGCTAGCACCTACCTATAGCACTATAGTTGCCATATAGACTTCGCTACTCTACTGTGCTTGCACATGTGCTATGTATGTGTGCTATGTATCTGTATAACCGAGACTACACAGTGACTAGTACTAACACGCACCTAGCACTTCGACGGTGAAGTTGTGGGAGGCACTGCCTGCAGGGTTGCTGGCTTGACAGCGGTAGAAGGCAGAGTCCTGCTCCCGTACCTGTATGATACGCAGCAGCTGGTTGTCGTAGAGCAGCAAGATGTGGCCGGGATCTATGCACGTAAACAATCACAACGTCAACAACAACAAAAACAACAACAACGACAACAACAACGACGATTACAACAACAACGACTACGACAACAATGACAACGACAACAATAATGACTATGACAACGGCAACAACAACGACTACGACAACAACAACAATGACAACAACAACAACAACAACAACAACAACAACAACAACAACAACAACAACAACAACAACAACAACGATGAGCTGAAGGTATAGATGACCTACCATCCAGTGAGAGCAGGCTGCCGTCGCG